GCACCATGAAGAGCAGGTACAATGGCATGAGAATCGAATATCCAAAGCTGAAGTGAAGATCACAGATGTTGAGAAAGCTTTGGTCAAGCTCATATCTGAGACTGGGAATGCCACTCTTGTTATAGCTACACCGGCAGTACATGGATTTAAAGTACCGCCTTTCGACGGGACATCTTCATGGTCGGCTTATAAAATTCAGTTTGAAGCCGTGGTGAGGATGAATGGATGGACTAAAGCACAGGCCATGACAGCACTCACGTTGGCCCTCCGCGATCAGGCCTTGACTATACTAGAGGCCCTCAGTAAGGATGTCACTTATGACCAACTGGTGGAGGCATTGAAGTCCAGATATGGAGATAAGCATCTTGAGCAGCTTAAGAACCGAGCGCAACGTAGTGCCGAGACTCTACAGTGCTGGGCACTGGAAGTTGAAAAGCTGGTCCAAAAAGCGTATCAGTCTTCACCTGCATTGGTTGAAAGACTACTCGTACAAGCGTTCATAGATGGAATACGCGATCTAGAAGTTCGAGCCGCTGTTAGATTGGGACATCATGAAACTCTGAAGGACTCTTTGGCCCATGCTTTGGAGGTGGAGGCAGTAAGACGTGATGATCGATCCCATCGTGTTACGGAAGTTGTAAGGACAGGTCATCAGTGTTACTTCTGTAAAGCAAGGGGCCACCTGCAGATAAATTGCCCAAAGCGAAGGCACCTTGGGAGAGACCAAAAGAAGGATGGAATCTCGATCTCCCAAGCCCACGATGGGAACAGCCTGATTATCCAAGGCGAAATTAACGGAACACCATGTAAGCTGACATTGGACACTGGAGCTTCTTGCACGGTCATCAGTTCTCGACTGGCAAATCAGTTTCTTGGGGATTACTTCAGTGGATATGATCGTATTCGTCTTATAACAGCGACTGGTCAGCACATATCTGTCCGAGGCGAGAAGGAGGTGGAATTGCTACTAGGCAACAAGATTTATCGGCATAAGGTTATCATTGCCGATATAAAGGACGATTGCATTCTGGGCTTAGATTTCATGACAGAACATCATTGTGAGATTGATGTCAAGCAGGGAGTTTTAAAATGTGATTTGGCAGAACTCTTTATGGAAGGTGCATCATCGGGTGAAGCACGCTGCTTGAATCAGATTGTTCTTCCCCCAAGGTCAGAAACTATCGTACCAGTTAGACTACCAGATAAGGCTGGTCAGAAGAATCGTTGTGTCCTCATAGAGGGTTTAGACAGTGGCCTACCATGGAAGATGGCGCGAACGTTGGTGAGGGCCACAAACATTTCGGCAGTATGTGTTCTAAATCCGAGTGATAGAGAACAGGTTGTTGGAAAAGGAACTTTAATGGGCACCTGTGAAGAAGTTGCTTGGATGCGTAAATGCCAAGAACAATCTACTATGACCAATATGAAACATACCGTGTTCAATGTGTCGACGCTTCTAGAGGAATGTCGTAAGGATCTGTTGGAAGAGAAACTAAACAAAGCTAAAAAGATGTTGCTTCGATATGCCGACATTTTCTCATCAAGCGACGCTGATATAGGGAAGACGGGATTGGTTCAACACAAATACAGGAAATGAGTTACCGATCTGTCAGCGACCGAGAAGGCTACCGATGGCACGTGAACAAGAGGTGGATGCCATGTTTCAGGGAATGGTAAGGAATAGCATTATAGAGCCCTCATCTAGTCCATGGTGTTCACCTGTGGTTCTGGTAAAGAAGAAGGATGGCAGCATGCGTTTCTGTGTGGACTATCGTCGACTGAACAACGTTACAAAGAAGGACAGCTATCCACTGCCAAGGATCGACGATACATTGGATACGCTGACAGGAATGAAGTGGTTCACTACCCTGGACCTAAAAAGTGGCTACTGGCAGGTGGAAGTAGACCCTAGAGACAGAGAGAAGACTGCATTTTCCACAGGAAAGGGTTTGTGGCAATTCAAGGTCATGCTCTTTGGGCTGTGCAATGTTCCAGCTACTTTCGAAAGACTTATGGAGCTAATACTCACTGGATTGAGTGGGGATGCCTGTCTTGTCTATTTGGATGATATAATTATCGTAGGCCGCTCATTTGAGGATCATCTTCAAAACCTGGAACGAGTGTTATTGAAAATACGAGGATCTAATCTCAAATGCAGCCCGAAAAAATGTGCCTTCTTTAGACGGCAAGTTAAATTCTTGGGACATGTTTTCTCGGAGAAGGGGGTGCAGACAGACCCGGATAAAATCGTCGCCGTAAAAGATTGGCCAGTTCCAAACGACAAAACAGGAGTTAGAGCTTTCTTGGGCTTATGCTCCTACTATCGTCAGTTTGTGAAGGATTTTGCTGATATTGCCAAACCACTGCATAAACTTACTGAAGAGAAGACACGATTCTGCTGGGACGAGGGTTGTGATATTGTATTCCAGGAATTAGAGGAGCGTCTGTGCAACACTCTAATTTTGGGCTACCCTGACACTGGAAATGACTTTGTAGTTGACACAGATGCGAGTAACATGGGGATTGGCGGAGTTTTGTCTCAACAAAAAGGAGATCAAGAATTGGTTATAGCCTACTTCAGCAAAGTCTTATCATAACCGGAAAGGAATTACTGCGTGACGAGAAGGGAATTACTTGCCGTAGTTAAAACCTTGCAACATTTTAGCAACTACTTGCTTGGACGAAATTCCGCTTGCATGACAGACCATGCTGCGTTAAAGTGGCTTTTGCATTTCAAGAATCCAGAAGGACAAGTAGCAAGGTGGATAGAGCTGCTACAGGAGTATGACTTCGTGATTGAACATCGTAAAGGGAAAATGCATGGTAATGCTGACGCCCTGTCGAGAAGGCCTTGTGTGGATAACTGTATGCACTGTGTCAGACAAGAGGCTGAAGAAATTGTTCCTGTGCAAATGCTGAAAATGGAGATCAGTAACAAGTGGAAGGAAACTTTACAACAGGCTCAGGAAAAGGACGCACACATTAAGCCGATCCTCGAGTGGTTGAAGGCTGATGCTCCTAGGCCCAACTGGAGCGATGTTGCAGCTATGAGTCCAGTTACAAAGAGCTACTGGGCACAATGGGACAGCTTGACCATACAGGACAGGATATTGTGCTGTAAGTGAAAAAATACCCGAGGGGACAGCTACCATCTGCAAATGGTTGTTCCCAAAGGAAAAGTTTCAGAAATCCTAAAACTGTACCACGACGGCTGCTCCGGAGGCCATATGGGGGTGAAGAGAACCTTACTTAAGATCCGCGAGAGATTTTATTGGATCCACTGTCGTGATGATGTGGAAGAATGGTTTCGCAGATGTACCAGTTGCGCGGCCGTGAAGGGACTTCAAATTCGCAGTAGAGGTGCGTTAAGGGTGTACAATGTTGGAGCCCCATGGGAGCGAATAGCGTTAGATGTTGCGGGACCGTTTCCTGAAAGTGAAGATAGAAACCGGTACTTCATGGTGGTCATGGACTACTTTACTAAATGGCCAGAGGTCTTCGCCATTCCTAACCAAGAAGCGGTAACTGTGGCCGATAAATTAGTCCACGAAGTATTCTGTCAATTAGGAGTATCCTTAGAGATTCACAGTGATCAAGGCAGGGATTTCGAGTCCCAAATATTTCGGGAGACATGCCGGGTGATGGGTACACACAAAACCAGAACCACCTCGTATCATCCACAATCTGACGGGATGGTGGAACGATTTAACCAGACGTTGGAAAGGTACCTGGCAAAAGTCATAGAGACTCAGCAAAGAGACTGGGACAAACACATTCAACCATTTTTGTTGGCATACCAAAGCGCGGTACATGAAAGTACGTTTGTGACCCCAACCTTCGCAAACTTTGGAAGAGAACTACAATTGCCCGCAGATTTAATCACCGGTACCCCACCTGATTGTCCACGTAGCATGACCGACTATGCGGACTATTTACGTCATAAGATGAATGACGTATATGACCACATCCGACAGTCAGGTCAACAAATGATGAAGACCCGATATGACCGGAAGGCGAACAATCAAGGCTTCGAAGAGGGTTCCCTAGTGTGGTTACATAACCCTGCGCGCAGCAAGGGGAAGTCCCCTAAATTACAGCCGAAGTAGGACGGGCCATATCGTGTCGTGACTAGAATTAATGATGTCATCTACCGAATACAGAAGAGGTCGAGAACTGCACCTAAGATTGTTCATGTGGATCGTTTGGCGCGGTACTATGGATCTAACGATGTTCAGGACGAGCATGCCTTAAGAGGAAGGCAGTGTCGCGCAGGCTCTAAAAAAAGACTAGCACCATGATGCGGAGAGTGGCGAAACAAAAAAGAATGATTATAAAAAAGAGAGAAAAAGAACGTATTCGAAAAATTAGGACGTTCGAGAAGATTTGTGTTTTTCTTTTGACGAGTTATATAACGTTTTTGTAAAAGTGTCGGTTTCGGTAAACTGTGTTCTGAATTTATATCCCGAGCCCCATAGCTCGTAACACTATGTATATTTTATCTGGAAATTTTACATATTTATTTTGCTCTCCTTTAATAACTGCTCCTAGTTAAGGATTCCTTCTTCAATGGCTGAATAATTGCTTCATCCACTTCACTTGGTCTGAAAATTAATTATATCATTATTAATTCGGATAAATTTGAAATAGAATTCTCAGAGAACTTCGACGTCTATAAAGAATTTTACTCTCAATTTAAATATAAAAGAAGAAATATTTAACAATTTTAGAAATGTTTTCTTACTCGATGAATTTCTTATGTAAATATAATATTGAAAATTAAATACGAATATTGATAACTTAACCGTAGTGATTTTATATCTGTTATGCAGGACGGAGAATGTGAATGATGGTGACTTGAAAACTTTGCTCTTGAAAAAAAAATAACCTGTTAATGTTATTACATATAAAAAGCATTTTAAAATTAACAGTGTGTTATTTTTCAGATATTACACACACACCGGAAATTTTGTTCCTTAAATTGCGGTTTTGCTGTATAAAATTGAACATTCTTATCTAATTTGATTATAAATTTAAATTATTATGAAAACAATAGTTCAACAATAAAATCAATAATTAGAAATCCGGAAAAGTAATGCCATTAAGTGATCCTCATCGCCATTCCATTTCCATTTCCAGTGCTACTGGATTTCTAAATAAAAACGGATATAGATTGGGCAGCATCATTGGCGAAGGATCATATTGTAAAGTAAGGTAAGAAAATACAGTATTATTTTCTACGTTTTTGAAACTTTCGACTGCCTAAAATATTAATATAATTAATATATAATTCATAAAATTAGAATAAGATAATTATAAAAGTCCTTATCTCAGAGATTCACAGAGTAGATAAAGCTTGTGGTTTTGTTCAAGGAGTCGTGGATTCGGGCTTCATCAATGGGCTAGCTACGTTGTACTTATTTGGGTGTTCTTCACGTTTCAAACATCTAAATAGAGACAGAAAGTCCTCCCGGGAGGCATACTCCTTTAGCAGTATCGTATTTTTTTTATTCCATCAATCCAGTCGAAATTATACACAGCATACAAATAGAATATCTTTATAAAACTGTATTGAACCTTGAATAAAATCTTGTAATGACAGCATTTGATTTATGCCCGTAGGAAAACTGAAATTATTTTTCTTCTAACTATATATAATATGAAATTTATACATATCTCCAGCGTATAATTTTCTCCTCATCTCCATTATCATTATAGTTCATATTATTCGTACAATTAATTCGGTACAGATTAAATCCGATATTTTTAAATGATTGAAAGGAATTTCAGCGCTATAAACCAAGGGATAAAGTGCAAAATATTTTGTTTGAACGAAAAAATCAACGCATTTTATAGTGTAAGATAAAAATCATTAAAGTAAAAATAAAGTTTGAACTGAAAATAAATAAATATATGTGCTGTATCTGAGATAATAACAAAAGATATCAAGAATACGTAAATAATAATAATTATATATTGGTGTTAAATAATGATAAAATCGTTGAATTTTAGGGAAGCAGAATATAATGGGGAAAAACTAGCGATTAAAATTATCTCTAGGATCAAAAATTCAAATGAATATATAAAGAAGTTCTTACCTAGAGAATTAAAAATTTTATGCAAAATCAATCATCCGAATATCATTGAAATTAAGCGTATCATTGACTTCGGTACGTATGTCTATATCTGTATGGAAATTGCAGAAAAAGGAGATTTATTCGATTGTATAAAGGTAATTTCTTCGTTATTTCCTCTCATTTTACATTACCCTTCAGTAATTATTTATTAATTCATGTAGAAACACAATTTCCTCTCCGAAAATCGAGCCAGAAAATACTTTTATCACTTAGTACAGGCCGTCAATTATTTACATAAAAACCATATCAGTCATCGAGACTTAAAATGCGAAAATGTGCTCATCACCAGTAACGACATAGTTAAATTAACCGATTTTAGCTTTTCTCGAGTGTGCAGTATGCTAATTCTTTGGTTTTTTGAATTAAACAAATTAATATTAAGTCTAATTTTAAGAATTTATTTTTTCGCAGTTAATGAAAATACAGGTAGAAAAATCCTCAGTGAGACATACTATGGTAGTACAGCGTACACAGCACCAGAAGTATTACTGGGTATTCCTTACGATCCAATGATGATCGATGCATGGAGTATGGGGTGCATATTATTCATCATGATAACTGGAATGATGCCGTACAATGATTCAAATCCACGAAAAATGATTCAATATCAGCTAGAACGGCGATATCCTATTCCTTCTTCATTGAATAAACAAATAAGCTCACAATGCAATAAGCTGATCTTCCAACTCTTGGAACCTGACGTTATGAAGAGAACGACAGTAGAAAACGTGCTAAGAAGTTCTTGGTTTCAACAATAAAAATGAAAATTGAAATCTCCTCTCCAGCAATGATGATTCAATTGCGACTAAATGAGAATAAGGCCTATTTTTACAACACATATTTTTCTAATATTGTCGAAATAATTTTCTTGGTACATTTTCATAATAAATATTAAATTTCTTATTAATGTTGAGGAATGGATTGAAGAGACAATGTTGTGTTTTGCAATTTTTTCTAATAGAAACATTCCCAACTTAATTTTTTCTTGCGGCATTTCTACTACTACTTTATCAATGTAGAATTAGCTATTGCGCTTTTAGTATTTTTAGTAAATACACCTAAAATGTATTGTAATGCTACTCAGCACCATATTTTTCGGCACAAGAGCCCACCAATGGATAAACTACCAGTGTTCGACCGTGACAAACTACCAGTGTTCGACTGGTAGTTTGTCACGGGTTTGCTTCCGGTCAATGGGCTTGCCACGTGTTTGTTAGGTTTTCTTTACGTGTTTACGTGTTTAGGTGTTAAACACACACCTAAACAGGAACCAGTTTTTCATAGAAAGTTTTCCAGGAAGACATTTCTTTTTGGCAGATTGAAATCTTCTTGGCCAAGTGTTGCTCCCTCAATCCAATGCGCGGCACTCTTAAAGTGCCATTGTGGCACCGTAGCGTGCTTGCAGCATCCGGTTGAAAACAACTGGGTAAGGTAACACAATACATGAAGCAATCTGCCAAGGAGGGAATGCCTCTCGGAGGAGTTCTTACGAAAATCTGACCCCTATTTATATATTACGTACCCGAAAAAATCCAGAAAACTCTGTAGCCCGCTGGCGAGGCGCAAATCCACAACCAACTATTAGTTTAATATGTTATCCACTCGGCCACCGGTAAGCATTAATGTTGAGCTATACTTAGTGACCATACCTCACATTTTGTCCGGGACAGTCTCGGATTTTTCGTTTTTAACCCTCAAAAATGGAATAAAATTTTAAGCAGAACCATTTTATAGATCGTCTAACGCAATATGATTTATTAGCCAATGTATCTCTTATAAGCACTTTCGAATCTTTACCAGCAAATATTATTGTTTAATCTGATGTTGAAGTAGTAGCCAACTTCGGTCTACAATATAAAGATCAGTTTTAAGAATTTAGTACAATTTATTTATTTTGGAACGCTTATGGATGTTAAGTTTAATATATTATTATAAATTTAGAAAATTTTGTTTTAAACTTTTAATAATCAATTCCATGAAACTTTTTATGATTATGAATCGAAATAGTCTTCAAATATTTGATGCAAGTCTCTGATTCTGTTATCCATTATTTGTTTGGGATGCGCAGCAGCGAAGAAACATCCAGGAAAAATTCGTTCGTAAATTTTTGTATCTTTTGAAATTTCACGATTACATTCTCCAAAATATTGATGAAAGTGAGGGCAAGTAAAACTATATTCAGAAGATACAGGCGCTTCACCCGGATCTATTAATGTATTAATCTCCACAACGGTTTTCTTTGCGTTTTTTGGCAAATTAATCTCTCTCGTTTTTTCTTCCGGTTGAATTTTGATAGATTCCATTGATACCTTCTTTTTCTTTGATTTCTTTTTCTTAGACGATTTCCTTTTCTTGGATCCTCTCGATTTCTTTTTCCTCGATTTTTTTGATTTCTTAGACTTTTTTCTCTTCTTTGATTTTTCTAATTCTTCCCCGGGAATCTTTGTTTTGATAATAAGTTTATTTTCTTTTTCCGGTTTTTTCAAATAAATTATTTGAGGGTAGATAACAGGTGGAGGTAGAGGAGGTTCTGGTCTTACATTTACTGATAATTGTTCGGCATTAATCATAGCAGCTTCTCTATATCCATTTTCCAATCTCTTCAATCTTTCCAACTCTCTCCTCCTCCTCCTTCTCCTTCTTCGCCTTCTCCTTCTCCTCCTCTGCCTCCTGCGTCTTAATCTTTCCAATCCTTGTCCAACTTCTAAATTAGGATCCATATTTATTCCTGATTGAAATAAGTGAGTTTGCATCCCTGCTTCTAATTTCTGGCTTTCATCTAATGATTCTGATCCAGAACTTTGATCCGAAGTAGACGTCTCTTCAAAAGATGAAAATTCAGAAGCACTCGTTGAAGTAGATGATGTTTCATCATTTGAATCTATAAACTTATTATCATTTTCTAGTAATTCCGTTTTATTATAATAAGGCACGATTCGATTTTCAATAACTTCTACTGATGGTAAAGTATTATCTGATGATTCTTTATCAAAAAATCCTTTGATTATTTGACGGGAAGACCCCTGTCCATTTTTTGACTGTAATGTTAGTGCATTTGTCGAGGAAGTCGTCAAATCAACATCTTGTTTTAGTAATTCTTCCTTCAGTACTTCTTTTATTACTTCATCATGTTCTGGATGAACAAAATCGAATTTCTGACTTTTTATTACGTGATCGATTATATAGCTTTTAATACATTTTAATATTTCTTCTGATTGCTTCGACATGATGACAAGAAAATGTCAGTAAATTTTGCTGTAGAAATAATTAAAAATTAGATAAGGAAAATGAGGACACGAAGTTTCTTTCTTACTTCAGTAATTTTATCTTTCTATTCATTTATTTGATAAACAAAAATGTATTGAAATCTTCTCACCGGCAAAACATTCTCTATTAAGTAGAGCTCATTGTTTGCATTATTTCTAGAATCATACAATTGTTCATGTAAAATAACAATTGTAAAAATGATTTTTACAATTGATTTTTACAAATGCTAACAATGATTTTTATAGAATTATTTGATGCAATTATGGAGAACGTTTATAAATTCTTGTTGATAAAAGTTAAAATATAGTTATAGAAAGTGATGTTCAAAGATATCTTACGGCAAAAACACTTATTAGTAATATTTAAAACTTACTAAAAGGATTGACTCTTTCGGGACTGTAAATTTTCGGGATTTTTTGTATCGGGATAACATAACAGCTTCAAGAAGAGCAAGTGTAGTGTAGCAAGTAGCAAGTTTTCCTCAATTAAATAGTCGAATAAGATCTGTGACCTGCTTCATTACTATCAGTTATCGAGAGATGCTGATCAGTGTGATATTCTACGACTACAGCAACAAATTATGTTGACTTAGTTACGTTTTTCAAGATGAATATACTCTACATATCAGTCTAACCACATAAAATAATTATAGTATTGCTATGACCTTTCCCAGTTGTTATATATAGCAGAGGAAAAGCATGGGAAAAACTATCAACAACTGGCCCCCAAATTTTTACATCCTTGGACTCGGGAGAACTGAATGCGAAAAAAGTTCGGCGGTTTTTTCTGTATGTATGTTAGGATGGATAATAAAATGGAAAATCAATTTAAATATTTTGTAGCATGAAATTTCTAAATTCTGTTTTGCTTAGAACAGCTGGATTTTTAAATCCGTCATAGCTCCTTGTTAAATGATTTTTAGCTTGATGAGCTGAGCAATCTTTATTTCTAAAATACAAGTAAAATGATAAATACCTTTTAGTTCTTGAATTACTATTATTATTATGTATCTATCATGTTATTTTAATAGAATTTAACTTATCAGCTTCATTTATATTGCTTATCTTCTCGTTTAAGCTTATTTGTTTTAAAAAATAAAAAAACAATAACCTTAACTATTTGCAAATTCACTTTTGAATTATAAGTGTTTTATGTAAAAACTTACCCTGATTTCTAATCTTTTTTCATAACATAAAATTATATTGCTTAACAAATGATAAAAATACACGTAAAATTTTGCAACTAATGATGAAATAATTTATTTTCAATATTTTTAAACT